CCTTTCGCGGAAAAATTGCAGAAAAAGGAAGAATTGTAAAAGAAAGAGGAGATCGTGGACGAGATTTTACGCGAACAACGACGTGCGATAACAGTCGGGATGTTGAAAAGACGTCTCCGTTCCTGTAAATTCTCCTTTGTGTCCGTGAAACTGGCCTGCAATCTCCACACAACTGCTCCCGGGCTTGCGAAATATCGTGATATTTCGTCCGATAATTGTGACCGCAAAACTGGCTACCACCAGTGATTGCTGCATGGTGATGACGATGTTGGATCTTGTGAAAGGACCACTGTCACGAGAATCGTGACGAGGGGAGATCGATGATCTCAACAATTTTACCGAAATTATTCGTATAAACAGAAAGAAAATTGTATAAAAATTAGATAAACGTAAGGATTTCCTCTCTTGGAGGAAAGAGGAAATACTTTGGCAAGATTTTTATTTAAAAAAAGGATAATTGATAATCAAACAGCAGTGGTTGATAATTATTTCTTGAAAGAGTACTCGGCGTTCGACGATAAAAAGCGGGAAGAAGAAGAGGAGACAGTTTGGTCGATGCACCACAACCGTCAATATCGCCTCACTTTCTCGAGCAATATGCTCGTATGAGATGCGTTCTCGAGATAGCCTGGTTGCACGAGCCTCCTAGGGTAAACACTCTCCGCGGCGGACATCGTGCAAATTTACATAAGTCGGTTGCATTTTCCCCGCGATTGAAATTTCTGGATGCGGCTGGTTTACTCTCGAAGCGAAGAATCGCGAAACGAGCCTTCCGTTTCACTTTGGATTCCTTGCTTAACTTGGCGAGTGCACTTCACGAGAGTAGAAATAAAGGACGAAAGTTCTTTCGAAATGGAAGGGGTTTTTCGAATCGGTTTTTCTCTCCACGATACGATAAAAAAAAGAAAAGAAAATAATTCTCCTCTTTTGCTTCGTGAGAAGATTAATAAATCTTGCGCCGTGTTTTCGTGTGGGAGTTTTTTTCAATTCGGCAATTTATTTGATACTTTTCGACCGTGACCTTCGTGGATGAGTCGTAAATCGGAAGATATTTCGAACGAAACGGTCGAAACTTTGCTGCAAAAAGTTTGCCCCTCTTGGATGCGACGATACTTCTGAATACCCGAACTGGGTCATAGAAATCTTTCGCTCTAGGGTACACTATATCATTCGAAAGTTCCTTTAATGGTCGAGCTGGTTAGGAAATAACAAGGACGCGATGAGACGAATTCCGGAAAAAGATCAATCGGCGTTTTGGAATATAAAAACTTTTACGAGACTCTCTGTTTGCCAGGAGATATTTAATAAAGTTTGGAGAATTTGGAAGTTTCGAGAAGGGGATGAGTAAGTTTTTTTTGATTAAAAACTTGCACTGTTTTCATAAAACATGCATTTTTGGTGTTAGGATTATTATTTTTCAAATTCCAAGAGGGAAATTCGATCGATCTTGTAAAATATGTATATATATTTCGATATTATTTGAAAAAAAAATGTTTGTTCGTAGTTAATTACGAAAAATATAATTTTAAAAATATATTTTAAAAGTTCCAACCTCGAATGAAATAGAATTGTGGCCAAATAACCAATAATTTATCGATATTTTTCTGACATTAATTTTGCGGTTTATAGTTCATAACAGCAAATAAAATGATTCATTTTTACGGTAACGGCTGTCGAATAAATTTCAACCATTTGCCAAGTTTAATATTTGATCCAGCTATTTATTGATTAAAAACTTCCACTCGAGGTGCATCCATTTTCAATACAAATATACGATATATGTGGAAAATAAATTAGCTCTTTTTCTTTTTCTTCCTTTTCGATTTTGCCATTCGATGGCACAAACTTGTTCCGATTCGATTTATTAAGGAAAAAAAAAGAAAGAAAAAAAGGAAAAACTTTTATATATGCGAGTATATATCGATAATCGATAAGCCTCGAAAAATATAAACGTCACGATGCAACGAAAGGTCGTTACGAGTGGCGATCACCGATATTCGCGTTAATGCGAAGCATGATTCGCAATAATTTCAACAATGATCACGTCGTTCGGCGTAATAACACGACCTCCGCGTGGAAATCGAACGTGTAAACGTTCGATTCGAAGGATTACAAGGAAAAAAAGAAATCGAGAATTACGTCCGTGATAATTTCCTACGTGGCTAAAGTGCATTTCGCGAGCAGAAATATATAAACGATACTATATACAAACGTTTTATCATTTCTTTTTTCTTTTATGTATTGCGAGAAATTTGATAACTGCCCGATCTAATGATATCTCTCAAGTTCGTTGAAAAACTATTTAATCCAAACCAATAAATTATTTATTATTAGGAGGAATAATAAATGATGAGATTAATCTCTTTAAAAAAAAAAGAAAAAAGATAGAGTAGTTATTTGGGCAACAAGAGATATTTTATTCGATACGTGCTTGCCGTGTTATATCGTGACTCGATTCCTTTATGTCGATTGCGCAAAAATCGAGGCCTTGATTACGAACCCAGGTATCGTTCTCAACTTCCGTTGATTTCGATCTGGCAGCCGATAATCGTAATAATCGGAACGCCACGATATTTTCCACCATCGAAAAATATATATCGTTGCAACATCGACAGTCTAGTCGATGATCTCTAGTAGATCTCTCTATCGATCCACTGTTAACGATATTTATAGAGCATTGTTTTATAGATCACAGTGTTTATAATTCGGATTGATTAATTGCTTATTCTCTTCGAAGAAATATCTGATTGAAAAATGTACATACAACCTCGTGAGCCTATCGCAAGAAGTAAATTGTTGAGATAATATAGAGGTGCATAACGTGCTACGTGAATTAAACGTTCTTATTAAGATCTAATACGTTTCGAAGAGATCCTGTCCTAAGTCGTGATTCAACGTTCTCCTCACGTGTTATTAGGATTAGCCTGGTAACAGTTTACTAAAGCTCCAGGGAGACGGCCACCTCTTCCCAATCTTCAAAATGATCTTGTTTCCCTAAGCCTTGTGTAATAACCAAGCAACACTCCTTCGATAGAGAAAGAAAAAGTTCCGTTCGAATTCTATCCTACACATATTGAATAATTGGCTACGAAATTAAAATAACACAGATTAATCAAATCTAGAATAACTTTCATTTGTCGAACGAATTTGCGTGTCTTCTCTTCTGAAAAGACATATTGAACATTTATCAGAACAACAACTCGTTCGTATATGCAATTTAAAGATACACGAGACAGAAAAGTAAGATTAAACGGTGAAGAGTTAAATAATTTATAGCAATGTTTGTCAACCCAGCGTAGAGTCGCATTAAAATTTAATAGCTAATCTCGTGCTTCAAATCGTGCTCGTATACAACGTTACCATATTTTTCTACAAATTTTACCTATATAAACAATATAAAGGAATCAAATTCTCTTCGCACGATCCATCTTATACAACTCGAGAGTCCAAGTTTCTTCCCTTCGAAGAATAACGACGCGAAATAGGAAATAGCCAGGAGAGGGTCCTCCCTTCCTCCCCATTGATACTAAGAGGCATAAGTATTCGGCATTAACGAGGACTCACGATCCTCGTTTTACGAAGCGTTGCTAACGACACGGCGGCGTTTGCATACGTTGCTCGTTTACGAGCTCGGTTGTGTTTTCGTGGCATCGTTAACGGTAATAACACGGTCCCGGAACGTGAACTACGACTACGTCCGCGCGTATTCGCTCGTCGAAGGTTAAGCATCGTGGTCCAAGATCGGCATCCAGGCGACGAAGAAGGGTTTCAGTCGAAATTACGACGATTCACGACGTTGTTTCGAAAACTGCTGCGAGCAGAGTTTTTTTTCTTCGTTGCACTGGAATGAAAATTTGGGAATAATTGGAGCGAAATTTTATTTTTAACGTCTCAATTTAAGCGAACTGATGCTATAATTATCTATGAGTGAATGGAAACAGAGTTGATTAATGGACTAAAATATTATTCTGTTATTCGAATAATAAAAAGTTGAAAATGGATTAAAGATCATCTGTGAAATGAAGGGTAACCGTGTGTTTTTTTCATCGATAATTATGAAAATATGTACTCTTTCGCAGTTCAAACCTGTTCCAGTTAAATTCCAGTGTATTTAAAAAAAAAAAAACACTTTCTCTTTGTTTCGAAAAATACTTCGTGTCTGTCAATATTTGAACTTGAACTCGCGATGCACTCGATCCCCTCGCTACCGATCGCTTTGATTTAAAAACGTTCCCAATCGATTTGAAAAAGTGAAAGATTCTCTTCGTTACATACGAAATCGAATTGGTCAATTTATCATCAAACGAGTCGTATCCTCGATATATAAATATAAAAGAGAGGAATGTCGCGGTTGGAAAATTCATGCGGCAAACAAGGACGCGTTCCTTCCTTGGATATTCCATCAGGGACGTAATGTCCACATCCTGAATAATGTCGTGGATAATCTCGTCTGGTAACGAACCGAAAACCGTGCAAACAAGCGAAACTACGTTGATATTTGCCGAACGGAAGTGGCCATCGCGAACCCGCGATCCGAGCAGTCTCTTCCGGGAAAATTATAACTGTCGCATAGCTGCGTTCGATCGACAGAACGTCCCTCCATACCCGATCAGATAATGACAGAGGTAACCAAGGTCTGAAAAAATAATTTAAATATTTTCTCCTTCTTTCATGAATATTTATGAATATTTTCGTTTCTCGCTCTAATGGCGCGTGAAAAAAATTATACACTGTTCTCAGAGAGTTACGTTTCAAAGTCGTGGAAGAATGGAAATTATCATACTTAATTTAATTTTAACACATTCATCGAATTGCCTGGCCTATAACACGCCTGTAGTCCAACGTCCACAGCTGTTTAATCCATTGTCTCTTATTAATCGGTTATTAGAACTAGAATTTGCAGAGGTATTCTCGTTCCAAGCATTATTGCGGAATTTTTACTTGTTACCTTTAACGAGCGTGCTACTCTGGTTGGGTATCTGTAAGGTAAAAAGAAGTTATAGGAAAGCTGTCGACTTCCTTTTACCGCTTTTTGTTACCTTCGCTGGAAACAGGAAATACGTACTGGCTTGCTCCACTTACGACAGATATCGTGAAACATGGACTGAAATTTGTGTGTGTTTTTTTATTGTCGGAAACGTCGATACCAAGATGAATTCGCGTTTTGCATATTCATTTTTTTTTTTAAAGGAACAAAGCGTTATCGAGTTTATCCGGAACATCCGCATACGTTTCGAAAGGAAACGTAAAAATTCGGGGGAAACACGTTTTGGCAGATTTTCGTTTCAAACATTTGTCGCGCGCGATACGATAAAACTATCCGCTGTTTGCTTTCGAATATTTTATCGTCGCTTCATATTTCTATATTTTTTTAATTGCATATTAATGGAAATCCGTACAATTATTATTCTTCCTCTTTTTTTTTTTGAAATACGTATTAATTATTTACGTAATAAATATATTATGTAAATGGCATTAATAAAATCTAAAATTACGAAGTAATCGTGCAATTAATTTATTTTCAAGGTAATCGGTTTATCGATATAAATTAAAAAAAGCAGGAAATTAACTATTATCAAGCTTTTACGTTCTTACTCGATTATTTCCATTCCAATTATATAACAATATACCTTTGTCCGTGCTAATTAGTGCTGTCAATGCTTCCCAAGTTTACAATTATAATATGGTGGGTGTACAATTTATCTTTTCACATCGTTCGCAATTTGACGTTTTATCCATCCGTGAGAGCATCAAAAAATCGAGTGCACGTCCATTATTAAATTACCCATATTCGCGTGTCTGTTTCGTTTATTAAAAAATCGGGAAAATTCGACTTTCGTGAAATTTATCGTCGTCGCTTTTTCAACGACAATCTACGATAATCGAGATCGATCGATGGGTGACGAGTTCTTTCTGCAAACAGGGTGGTAAACAAGCTGTCGACGAAATTGCGCAATTCGAAATGCACCTGTTTTATTCAGCGAGCGGAGCCAATCATCGAGAACGTAATTAAAAATCGCATTTATATTATAGCTGTGAGAGCGAGTTTTTATCGTCGACCTTCGTAGTACGTTCCAGCTTCGAATTGGTTCAATGAATAATGGATATCAGTTTGCCTAAATAAAATCATTAAGCGTTGCTTAAAATGTATCGTCGGGTGAAATCCTAAAATTTTCAACTAAATTATTAAAACGGTATTAAATTCAACTTTGGACGAGTTTCAAAAGTTGCTTTGCTATGCTTCGAATGCCTCTACAAAGGCATGGAAGTTTTTCGAAAGTTTTTTAATCGACTTTTTACGTGTCTTTGCTACTTGAAATTCTTTACCGTATTTTCCATATTTTTAATAATTGCAGATCGAGGATATTAATTCAAGTTTGTACAAACGAAATCTATTAATCAATCTCTCGTTTGCAGCCCAATTATTTTCATTTGGATTTTTTCGAAGCCATCGATTTTAATAAAACAACAAAAATATATCCGTCCATCTACTATCAAAAAAAAAAAAAGTCGAGGAAATATTAAATTTTATGAGAAAATTCCTCCGTCACCGATACTCACCACCTTTCCTTACCTTCATCTTTCCATCCAAAAAAAACTCGAGAACGAGACAAAGAAAAGTTGCAGAGGTATATAAACCTCCCCCTCCATTTCGTGCCACTCGTTTTGACAGTTGGACCGTCATCACGCCGACAAAAGGCTTCCTCTTCCACCGATATTAAGGAAGGTTCCGCGCCCCCGAAAGAAGGGTCGTCTTATGAGAGGCTGCGACATCTCTCGTGGCATCGGCTTTTTCATTGCTCAGCCACGGATATTTGCACGGGGAGCGAAAACAGGCGTTCGTCGTCGTCGGGAGAGATTTCTATTCGCGACGCCTTGTTTACCTTTACACCGCGACTTTCCCTCTCCACCTCCACGGCCGCCCTTATGAAAATAAACCGAGATTTCTTTCGTGCCACGTGTTTTTCCTCGACTTCGTGCCTCCACTCGGATTCGTGTCGTGTTCCATCCGTGTGTCACGATTTATTCACGAATGTTGATAAACGTTTTGTTGTTGGATTCCTGCCTATTCTCGCGCTTGGAAGTGTAGCGTGGAGAGAGAAAGAGAAACAAAGATTGGATTAAGACAAGTTAAAATTAATCGAAGGAAAATTACGTTACGGGATTCGATTAATTTCGTGTGGATTAATCTGATATTAAAAATTGATGGATGGAAAGGTGTAATTTGATCATCGTTAGCCGATAACGAAAGGAAAGAAGAGGTGGCAGGCAAATTAGCTGCGTCCTTCTTTAAGATTCAATCAACTCGATATCCTGTATGCGTTTGATCCACCTACACACGGTTTAACGTGAGCAGACAATTATAATTAAATTCCCCCTAGGTTGGAACCAATTATCTTTCCTTTACGTTTCCGTTGGCCAAGCCACCCTCGTTTATCCGGACCTTTATAACTATTTTAATTAGGGATTCCAACCCCTAATCTACCATCTCTCGCGAGATCGAATAACAAAAGATTTTGGTTTTCAAAGCTTTTCTTTTCTAAAAATTCATGATAAATACCCTCCGATCGGCTAATAACATATTTTCTATTTGTTGTATTTTTACGTAAAATTATCATTCTTATGTTTTGTGCATTTCGACTATTCGTACAGACTGAAATAAAATACTAACTTCACAGTAAACTCTGGCCCCAAGAATCACGCGGCAAACGTTCTTCCTTGGTATCGTTGAAATGCAAATTTTTGCCAACTTTTCCTCTTTGTGAAATTAACTTGAGTAGATTTGTGGCTGTGACTTGAAAATAATCTGGAAACACTTCTCGTGATTTTCGAAAACACGTGGATTATCTTTTGATTAGAGATAAAATTATCGAAACTATCGGCGAGAAATTTATTCTAGTAGTAGATCTCTTCGAGTATCTTTGAAAGTTGAAAGATCCATCGTATCCGTTAATAAATTAAAAACAATAACTAAACACCCTTTTCCTGATGATTCCTCGATTCTTCAAACTCGTTGCTACTTTTCGAAGCGCGCGTATTTATTTACAGCCAGGAACGTTTTATCCTCGCATAAGCACGGAATTGTACACCGCGAACGGCGAATAAATTCACATCAAGGGCTCCATTCATTTCGCATTCGAGTCATAAATAAACAAGACGGACGAGCGTGAGAGAAGGAAAAAAAAAGAAAGAAAGAAAGAAAGAAAAAAAAAGAAGAAGAAGAATGGGAAAGAAAAACGAGGAGATGTATTCTTCAAGCTCGTCGTCGGCCAGGCAGATGCAGCAAAATCCGTGACACGAATGTTACACGATATTTGCATGGAGGCCGAGTCAGGAATGAAATGAATAAAATTAACATTAATTCGCGCTCGACGCTGATTTAACCGTGGCTCGATATTAATTGCGCGCCCCATTCGAATCGAAATTACACGTGTCCCAAAGGCGTTCTTCTGTGTGTCGATGGACGAATCGGAAAATTCATTGACAATCGTATCTCTTCCA